CATGCCTAAAGAAATACATATCAGGAGGTGTGGGGCAAGAGAAAAGAGGAAATAAATGGGTTGAAAGCAAGAGGGAGGAAATGGGGACAAGACTGAGGTGTGAATGAAAAAGAAAGGAAGTTAATGAGGAGAAAGCAAGAAAGAGTGACTGCAAGAGAAACGAAGAGTTCTGAGAGAGTGTTCACCTGGGTTCATCAAAAAATATGAATGAATTTCTATGACCTATAGATGAAAAGACAATTTATATGGTTGTCCTGATGATTCCTATTTTTCAATGAAATAATTTTCATATTTTCTGTGAGAACTGAATAACAACAAAATGAGTAGTTTTTAAAATTTATTTGAACACTGGTGCCCTTTTTATTCTTCATTTCCCCACTCCCCAGCAGAAAAGAAACAAACAAACACATGAGCAAAACTTCATAAATAAAATTTCTTTTTAAATAAAATATTGAACCAGGCCAATTTCCATTTTGCTTTGAACTGCTTCTTTGACATAGTGGAACATTTAAAACAATAGGAAAATTATTTACAAACATTCTCATGTAGCTCAAAAAAGCCTTATCTTTAATTGCCATCCCTTATTGTCTGTTTTCAGCAGAAATTCCTCACCGAGCCTAGTTTCAGTACCTGTTTGTATTATCCCATGCCAGCCCATGGAGAGATCAGCTAGCATTTCTTTGTGTCTTGCGCATTGAGAAGTATTGTTGAAGCACTGAAGTGTCTTGAAGATCTGAAATCTCACCTCCAATAGTCATTCAAACATTTAGTTTCCTAAATCCTGCCATGATTCACTGAGACTTGGCCTCCATAACCTCTTTTGAGAAGAGAACAGAAATTACTTTTCTAAAAAGTTACCCTTCTTTTCCTAATTAGGAATTCCAGGGTATTGAATTTTCCTAAGGAGATGATTTTTTTCCTCTGTAGATTTTTGTGGTTTCCTGGGCCGTTCTTTATGCTGTGAACATGAACTTATTTCCCTACCGCTCTATCAGTCTTTTCTTGCTCAGTTCTGCCGCAAAGCCACGACCTTGGATTTGGGACCATTAGCGATCAATTCCATGATGGATCTGCCTCCAAAAGATATGAGATTCAGATAATTAAGCAGGATTCAGATGTTTATCTCCAGGTGAAGCTGGAATTTCTCATGGGCTTTCTGTATTCTTGCCTGTGATCTCTGGGGAGTGCAAGTCGTGCAAAATTTCAATGGAAATAAATTACATGAAGTAAGCAAAAAAGGGAAACTGACTGAACTCTGGGGACTCCTGGAGCCTGGTGTCCAGCACACCACGTCCCTGCTGTCTCAGCTGAACAGACAGAGGCACAGCTCAGTGCCATGGAACAGCCCAGCTCTCCATGCAGTCGCGCCCCAGGAATTTGAGTTGTCTTGATGTAATTTTTTCTCCACTCCTGGTTGTATAACTAAGTGTTGCCTCAGCATCTCCTCTCCTCAATGGCAATGCTTCTCCCTCAGATCTTTGCAGTGGCTCTGCTTTTAGGAGAGGCAGGATCTGATTTATAACCTGTGGGTCTGGGAGAGACCCACATCACTTTCTCATTCATTCTCTTTTCATTTTTCCTTGCTGCCTAGTGCAGGACCTGGTTATCCTTCAGCCTCTCTGGTTTTTCTCATCCTGTTCTCCACCTCTCTACTGTTCAGATCAGTCTTCTGGCTGCCATTTTCCTTAGGTTACACTGTGTTGTTTTTCCTATCTTCTGATCTAACCTTTACTCCCTTTGCTAGTGGTGCAGCTTCCGTTTTTCTGAGCACTCTGAACTGCAGAAAGATAAAAAAGATTCACCCAATCTCATATAAGCGTTCTAGCAAGTCTAGCAGGAAGCGATACTGTAATGACTACAGTGCTGCTCTCCCACTTGAGATGAATATTGGGTGAAGCTGATCAGTGGCTCTACCAGACAACTTACACAAATAGTTCTAATCTTCATCAGTTTTTCTCTGAAGTTTGTAAGAAACTGGTAGGTCAGTACTGACTGTTCCAAGATCATGAGAGCAAGTTTTGTGCCGTTTAAGAATTATCAGTGGGGCAGAGTATCCTTTATATAATATCCTTTCTGTAAGAGAAGTAACGAAAACTGTTTTGGATGAGAAATGTGGAAGATCTATGAGTGGGGGTTCAGGAGACATAACCAGTCAGGACTGAGGTGTTCTGCAGATCTGTGTGTTTGATTATGAAGTGAACCAGATTCATCCAGGTAGGAATTGTTTTCAGCAAGTATGAAGAGTGGTGTATTGTGGGGGGTAGTTAGAAAAGGCAACCTTACAAGATCAGAGAAGCGGCAGGACACTTTTTAAAAATGTGAAAGAATCCAGTACTAGCAGAGCCATAACAGGCCTGAGTGGAACAGAAAATGATAACTGTGCCTAATTTATGTACATATAATAAATAATTATATTATATATAGAATGTATGTGTATGTTCAATTGTTTCTTCATAAGAAAATTACACCAACACAGCCACTGCACACAGTAGCAGTGAGACTCCCCAAGTGGGATGGTAGACTCAGATTTGGAGAAATGATTTTCTATTGCTGAAGCTTTTGGCTCTCTGCAGCTCCCGGAGTCTGAGGCTGAACAAAGCCTCAATAACGTCACGCTGATTTGCAGATGTCGTGTACCCCAGTCATGTATGCCTTGTGATAGTCTTTGAGAAGTCTATGACTCAAAGGCACATTTCACAGCTCCTTGCTCTCAGTCACTCACACTATAAGCCTGTGACTTCAAAGGCACATCTGAAAGGAAATGTTTGGAGGGGGGGAAAAAAAAGAAGGATTGTCTGCTTGTCCCTTTATTTTTCTGCTCATGACATAACAGGCTTAAGATACTTTGGCATAACTGCTTCTCAGTGGGTTATTTTTTCCTACTTACTTTACAAAGACCACAAAAAGAAGAAGAAAACAGCTGTGTGATCCCAATCCAGATGCTGTCATCTTAGAGTGGGCTTGTCAAAGTGCAGGCAATCAACTTTACATCTCTAAGCAGGCTCCTTGGGTCGAGTTAGAATGATGTCCAAGATAGTGACTCTCAGAACTTTTCATTTCAGGGCTTTCAGTGGTAGCATATGCAAAAGCATATACTGCTCCCTGCTGCATATCCAGTCACAAAGTAAATAAGAAAAGTCTCTGAGGGTTGCTGGTGTCCTTCCAGGCTATAGGAAACATCACTAAAATGAGGTTCTCTCTTTTTTCCTGAGTGTAAATGAGGTTCAGTTCTATAAATTCTGTTCATTTCAAGGCTTTAAACATGTTATCCGTAACATCAATGTCCTCCATACAAATGGAGTCCTGAATAGCTTTCATAAAGTGTCTGAAGTGTATCTCTTTTCTGGAGGGATGGGTGGGGTGAGTATAAAACCATATGTGAAGTAGGATTAAATTCTTTTTTTACATTTTTAATGAGTTAATTTAGGACCTTTTTGTTTTAGTCTGTGACATGCAATGCAATCACATTGAATGGCTGATGCACCGAACGGTTAAAATGCAGACATTCTTGTTTGTAGAAAGACATAATGGAGAGATTTACAGTCAGGTTAATATTTAACCTCTTAATCTTTTTAATGTTATGTTTGGAAAATGCCCTTTAAATTTAATTATCTGCTTCTTTATATTTACTATTTTGCAAATGAGTATTTTAAAATGTCAGTCATCTCTCTTTAAAGAGATCTATAATAATTTTGTATCCACTCATAATGACGACAATCATCCTAAGCAAATGCCACTCAACCCACTGTGCCACTGACAGCATCATTTATTCTCTTCTTAATTGTCTGAGGTTTGCATATCTCAGACCATGTAATTCAAGGGATAGTGTGCTTTCCCCTTTACCTCACCCTGTATTTTAAGCATTTAAAATCTTAATAGATTACGGTTTTGCATCTAAATAAAGAACCTTCTAGTAACTCAGGAAATAAAAATCTCAGTAACTAATCAGGGATGGAAGGCATTGTCCTGAGAAAAGAATTATTCCAGAAAAAGGTCTAAATTATAAATGTTTAGAGAAACAGAAAATAAATCTCAGGAAGTAACTTAGTTTGGAGTCCACATAAGACACAAACTATGTCGGTGTATATATAGGTATACTTTCATATCAATTTCTCAAATATTTGGAAAAGCAGGTACAAATTTTTAATATTTTTTTCATGGAAGATACTGTGGGGGTCTGCTGGTTTTGGAAACAGTGGCCATTATGACTGTCAGGTGCAGCAGAAAGTTGAAAACAACATTGGTGTCAGTATGTGATAAGGATGGACTGTGTAGAAATGGATGGTAAGGAAATATTTATCAACACAGTGTCCAGTAGTATCCATGACTCATAATATCAGCTAACAGGATCCAGGCTGACCACTGTCATCAGCCAGGTGGTCAATGGAGAATGATAGCACAATTAGGTCAAAAGATAACCAGATGTCTTCCTCCTTCTCATACTCCTGCACACAGGAACCCAGGCTCCATGGGGGCCTGGGAACTCTCTGCTGAGACAGAAAGGAAATTGAAGAGTGGTGCCATTGCTGCTTCATTTTCATCAACCATCTTGCTTATGCTTATAAGACCTGACACAAAAGATGTCTCAGTTATCCACACAGACTGCAAACAGGCAAAAGATACAAAAATGTAAGGGATGTGGAAAAATACAGACAATTTCTTACTTACATCTTGCACAGAAGTGTATTAATTCTTTCTTTCATTATCTCCAAGGTAGATAATGCAAATGCATAATCCATTTAGACCAAAGATAGCACATTTGAATTGTATCACTTGTGCATAGAAGATCAAGCATCCAAAAGATGGCATTCCCAAATAACACAATTATATCTGGTAATAAGACAAATGCCTTTTCTAGCTAATCCTGCTGGGTCTTGTGATTTACTTGATTCCTACCCTATATTTCTGCACAATCTGTTTATGACCCAACATAGTAACACAGTTCATAGTTATTTTCAAATGCAGATACGGCAGAGAGATTAAGAAAACTGAACTCTAACACTTTTTTTCTGGGAGAATCTCTTCTGTTACCTTGTAGCCTTCACAGGTTAAGGGGGTTTTGTTGCTTTACATCCAAGCACTGATTTGGTGTTCCAGATAGTGAGAAACTGATACAATTTACCTTGAACTAAGCAGAGCCAATATACCTTAAATACCATGCAAACACACATGGACTTTAAACACAAATAGAAATTTGAATTATAGACATTCTAGCCTGATTTTGTCATGAACCTGCTGCACATAGCTTTGAATACCTTCGGTTCTTTCAATACTGGGAAACAGGGTGATGTTTCAGAACAAGTAAATAGTTATGCAGTCTATTCTGATGCAAAGAGTGTGTTGGTATTTGACGGAGAATAAAGACAATGTAGTAAAAAGAGGAAAAGCTCATAGGTTTCATAGTTTCTCTTTTGCAATCATGTGATGCACTTTGTGCTTTTGTGGTCAGAAAGTGGTTCAATCTATTTCTGTTTGTTATGGTCAGTATTAAAATAAAGCTTTATTCAGTAAATTTGGATGAGGGTTTGCAAGGCTCTATACAGAAAGTGACAAAAAGTGTTTGAGATTTTTCTCTTTCCAAAAAGAAAGTTCATAAAGTTGTTTTGAGACTTAAAAGCCAATTGATGAAGGTAGCAGTATTAACAATGGAGAGTGCCGAGTTCAGTGCTTCACTTTAGATCAAGAATTGATTGTTAAGATACTCATATATGACTTTCTTAAGCCTATGAATTCAAGACTGCTCATAAATGTGGCATTTCTTGTTCCTGGAAAGCCAAGACACAGTTTGGGGCTTCCTCTCTTTCATCACCTTGGAGTCCAGGAAAGAGACTGTGAAAAGTCTCCTGGAAGAAAAGCTTAATGAAGGCTCTCTCCAGCCTCAAAAGAACATCTTGAATAAGAGCTTCCCATGAATAACGTATGTTTGTCTCTCCCTACCCGGGCAGGTTAAAACCAGTATTGAGGTTTAAGAAATGTTTTGAATTCTTGTGAGTGTTTTTTTCTAAATGCTTTTGTCAGCTATGAAGGAATCAGCCCACATGATTTTGCGTCACCAGCCAGAATGGTCAACACTGTTCTGACTCTGATGGGACTGGTTCCTTCACAGTGAGAAACTAGTGACACAAGGCAACTACTTGCAAGTGAAATTTCCTTGTTTACAAGAGTCCTTTCTGTTTCCCTTGCCAGGGTTGAGCACTAGCAAAGTCTGTCCCTGGCAGGCACCCTTCAGGGGCCTCTGTGCCCCAGAAGCCCTCTCCTTGATTTCCACAAAAATCACGTTGAAGTGACATCCGTCTCGTCCACCTGCAGCCCAGACACAGCATCTCATCACCAGCTCAGCCCTTGAGACTGCAGCTAGGGAAGTGCCTCACATCACACGTTTCACCCCTGTGTACTCTGCAACTGGGAGTCTTCAGGAAGGACCTTACTAACCAGATAGGCTGCTGTGCCCCATCCATTGAGCTTAAAAGATTCTGTCTCACTCCACTTGACATTAACATGGTTGTTGTTATCTTTGGGACCAATGGGCATCTGCTGGCTAATGGTTTCCTTTAGGAACTGTTAGCACTTGATACCTGAATTTGAACTAGGTATAGTATGGTGAGCCACTGTACAGTTTCACTGAATATATGAGTGAGTTTCAGCTGGGATTGTTTCTGGAACAGCTGGGCAGTGCCCAGCACAACAAGGGTCCTTACCCTTGTCTGAAGCCTCGTGCCTTAATCAAGGTATCAATTGGGGAATAACTGTGTTCATAATGGGCAATCATAAAATCATAGCAAAGATATATGGACAGATCTTCTGGTCTCCAAAAGAGCTGCAAATGTGCTTCTCTCAAAGTAAGTTTAATTGCTGTTCTTAAAAGCATCTATTACTTGTCTATTGACTACTTTTGCCAGATTAGACATTGTTATTAGCACAGTTTCACTTGGATTACTACTAATATTGGGCAACAGTTACTCTCCAAGATTTCCCTCACTTCCAACAGTCACTGTGGGAAAACATGTCGGCTGGAGAGAGGAGGCAATTTTAAACAGGTACCTATGAGGAGCTTGTTCAGTATAACCCAACCAGCACAGCTAGCTAAGCAGCACAGTCCATCTCCTGCTACTTTGAGAACATTCAGAAGATATCTTTGTGTCTTTGTCTATCACAGGACACACGTAGGAAGCCTGTGATCAAAAAGCAAATGCATCCCAGTGTCAGATATCTCTGCCATCTGCTTTTTCACGCTGCAGGAAGGTTCTCTTGTGTATTGTATATCTGATCCTACTCAGTTCAATTGACACCATTCTCATTCAGTATTAAGTGTTTCCTTCCTTTTAAGGAAGGGAGTCGAATGTTTTCCTTCTTGCCTTCCTCCTAAAACCTGGACCCTGATGCTTTATTCCTATTGTGTTGTCTTGGTTATCTCCTTTTGTCCTCCTATTTTTATTCAAGTAGCTGTTATCACCAACAGTGACAGCAGCTACTCCACAAAATACAAAAGGTTATTAGAGTTAATCGCTATTCAAACAATTACTTTTCTGGCTTCCTTAAAAGGAATATGATCTGCAACAAGATAGAAAATCAAAATCCTTTAATGCCTGCAAAGCATAATCTCTCTTTCTCCATGCATGTATGTACGGAACATATATTTACATTCTATTTTAGCTTTGTTGTTTCCTATCATTTTTGTTCTTTACTGATGTATTTCTCGATATAGTTGAACTGTATTGCATTTTTTCCTGTTTATCTGTCTTCTTGCCATGGTGTACACGGGGGTTTTGGACAGAACTGTGAATATTACACAAAGGACAGTAAATACAAGATAATCTAAATTACACAGCCTAATCAACAATAACCAGTGTTTCTCTCAGAAAGGGCACACCCATTTATGTGCGCTGTCTCCGATGTCTCTTCCTCTATATTGTTTGGTTTTGAGATTCACAGAATTAATCTGAGCTCCCTCTGTAACTAACAGAGCTATCTATTTATGACAAAAAAGCACGGATAATATTTGATTGTGTTAGATTCACTTCATCTGCTCTGCAAACATTGTAATTTCATGCAGGTTTATATTCTTAAGAATGAATTAAATATCAAGTTGCTCATGAAAACAGCAACCACAGGGAGAATATTACAGAATTTTCATGAAGTGAGTTGTGAATTTACACACATCAGCATTGGCAGTGGAAGCCTGACTTGGAGAGCGCTGAGAACAGGGGTCTACTATATAGGCTACATTACTCATCCAAACTGCAATTTCAGAGTCTGAAAACCCATGGTAAATTGCTCTGAAAAAAATCAATAGGTCAAAAGCCCTGTGTATGCCAATGGCAAAACTTCGGTTGCTTTCAGTAGGTTCAGGACTTTTCTGCAAAAAAGGAAAAAAACAGGATTGGTGTCTGGAGACTAGTCCCAGTTCATTGTTTTATTGGATTCAGAGTTATATTCTTTTGTTCCCTGTTGTAAACTGTCCTGAGATCATGCTTGCTATTCATCACTCAGGAGAAAAGTCTCTCTACACTACCTCTTTGTAACATTCAGAGCATCCAACCAAGCATTTCCTCCTTCTAAAGGACAACACTTTCCTCTTCTCCCCTTACAACAGGGTCATGCAAGACTACCTAAGGGCTGTGACTGTTGCCAGGCAGTTGACACACACAATTGATTGCAAAACAAATCTGCAAGGTTTAACATCGGGTTGAGGATTGGGGCCTGATGGGCTTCAGAGTAGCCCGGAGCTGTAGATGAAGTCTGTTTTGCAGACTTTTTTCCAGGTGTTTTACTGGACAGTGCTTTCCTACTTTTATGCATCTACTGCAGTTCACCCAACACATTCTGTTTATGGCCAAATGGATCTCTATGTATATAATAATTTTAAGTTCATAAAGTTACATGAAATCCTTAACTGACAAAAACACTTTGTAAATGACAGAGGATAGCAAAAGCATTGTAACAAAGAGCATAGTAATAGTATTATGAACAGAAACAGTAAGGAGCAGAACAATTAAGGAATAAAATCGTATCTTTGCCATTCACCTATTCTGTGGAGGAGAACGTGGGTAACAGACATTCCTTTATAAACTGGAAATTAAAACTGAGGAAATAGCTACAGGGAAAAGAGTGTATGGGATGAGATAGGATGGGATGGAATGGGATGGGATGGAAGAGGTCCTGGCAAAGACAGAGTCATCATACTGCAAATAGAAGGAGGCAAAAGAAGTTATATGACTGCCATGGGCAAGTGTTTCTCTGAATAAAACAAAATAGATCACTGTTTTTACCCAGCTCTTGTTATTGACAGAATAGGACAAAAGAATAAATATCAGCAAAACAAATAAAAATATCCCACATTTGCCCTCCCATCTTCAAAAAAAACCCACCAAAGTTTTCTGTAGTAGAAACATTAAACTTTTCTTCAGCTCCTTTATGCCACTCCTGTGGTGTAAGGTAATGGAAAAGCTGCCAGGCAACTGAATATTTTCTCCCTACTGGAAAAACTCTGGGTGGCTTATACCTAACATTTAAAAACACTTAAAAACGTGAATAACTTCAAGATACCGCAGGTGGTCACATCTAATGGTTTAACACAAAGGGCACTAATTGAAGTCCTCTCTTTGTAAAAGGAAAGGTAAAAGGTAGAGCTATATATGTTTCCCTCTCAAAAAAAAAAAAAAAAATCAATGGAGACTACCATTTCTAAGAGAACTGTTGGAGGGAAGATTTGTTCTTTCAGTTCAGTTACTGAATCCATAGAGTGGCAGAAGCAATGCAGTATTCCCAGGGACAGTTGGGCTCTACCTGCAAGACAGAGCCTGTGCTTGCTGGGAAGAGGTGGGATTTTGGGGCACATTGCTGAGCTTTTGTTAAGGGAGGGCTAGAACAATGCTCAAAGATAAAGGAGAAAGCAGGGTCTGAAAAAAAGTAAGGCAAGATAAGAAGATTCATTTAATGCAGTGGAGCTGAGCTAAAACCTGGATCAAAGCTTTGAAATGATACCATGAAGTTGGCGTAAGCCTGGCAGAACTGGCCCCAGTAAAACTGCTAAATAATAAGTGACTCATGCTTATCGTTCCCCTTCTCTTTCATCTGTATGT